TAGGTTTAAGGTTTAGAGTATGAGAAAGAGAGAGAGAGAGAGAGAGAGAGAGAGAGAGAGAGAAAGAGAGAGAGAGAGAGAGAGAGAGAGAGAGAGAGAGAGAGAGAGAGAGAGAAAGAGAAAGAGAGAGAGACAGAGAGATAGACATAAGAGAATGATTTTTGGTGTAAAAGACAGGAAGAGAGAATGATTTGATGCCCTGAACAATAGAAGGAGGGGGGTATTTATAGAGGCAATGAGTAGGGGATCACACGGAACCCTAGAAAAGATAAAAACCCTAAAAAACACTGTCGCGACACGGCAAAGCATGCCGTGACATGGCATGGTTTAGTGTGATGCAAGAAATAATTAACCTACAGAAGATAAAAATGCGTGAAGGGTTTACGCGGAGAAAACACGGAACACCCCCGTGTCACGGAATGGGCACCGTGACACGAGAAATTGTAACGTGACACGGTGCAAAATCCCATGGCCCGACAACTATTCCCCTGAAACGGTGGATTAAAAACATGGAAAAAAGCATCGTGACACGTTGGGAATTACCGTGTCATGACACCAAGCACAGTGTCACGGCACCAGGCACCGTGCCACGTCAAAATTTGTCGTGTGCGCGGTAATTCCAGTTTTGTATGCGTTTTTAAAATGATGATAACTTTTTATTCGTAACTCAAAATAAGGCATATAATATATCATTGGAAATATTATCAAGTCTACTTTCCAACCAATTAAAATCAGGTAAAAATCATATGTATATTTTAAGATATGTCCGTTTAAGTAGAAGGGTGTCGGTTTTGGGCCGAGTTTAGTGTTTTGCTTATATCTTCTTCGTTTTAAATCGGAATTGGGCTTATGATATATGGTTGGAAATATTATTTCAATGCCTATCCAGAAAATTAATAATTAGATCAAAATTATTAGGCCACAATATCAGTTTCTCTCGGTTTTATGATGTGGACACGAAAAGAAGAAAACAAGTTATGGTTTAGGGAAATGAGCTAGGAAATAGATTGGTTTATGAAATGTATTGAATGGAAACATGGATTTAATCAATCCAAAGATTAAATACTCAACCCGACCAATAATGGCGGTAAAAGGTTATTCATCATCGGGTTTGGTTTTGGGGAGACATTTTTAAGTGTCTACACAATGACATCTGGATGTGCATGGGCCCTATTGATAGAAAAAAGGATAGGAAGAAGTGAATTGAATCAGGGGAGCTTAGACACCAGTTTCTATAATTACAATGTAATTTGAAGAATAATCATGAGCACTATGGTTGTTTACTTACCAAGCTCTTAATGCTTCAACTTTTTCACCAATAGGGGCTGGGTCAATTGCTGTAGACATGATTGATTGAAGTGAAAAGCATGTGAATATTGAATCTGTAACTTGATTTGGCAAGACATATAAGGGAATATATGGTGTACTCTGTGAGTTGCAGGCTTCAGTGAAGTTAAGCTTACAACCATGGGACTGATGCCCAATCTTTGAGGATTTCACAGTCTAAAGTTGCAAGCTGACCCCATGCAGATATGATCATGGGTCTAGTGCCGGTGCTGCAAATGCAAGGAACAATAAATTATTATATTGTTGCAGTTATTTTGTTGGGGTTCTTTTGGTGTGGTAACAAAGATGTTACCTTTCATCAACTATGCTAATACCGCGCACATTAGCAACTCTCCCTGACTTGTATGTCACTTGGCACACATCTTCCATGTGGACCACAACACCTAGCAAATCCAGCAAACAATAACCATTAAGCTCTTTATGCTTAAGAGATACTATATTTTGAGGCAGGAATATGTAATCAAGATAATACAAGCAGTTTACCAAATCCTTCCTCTGGACCACTGGTCTTGGGAACATCAGCAATAGGAATGTATTCTGGCAAAACAAGGCCCCTCAGTTCAATCGACAGCTTGGATCTTAGTCATGCCTCCAAAGGTCAGCTCACATTTTCCTAGGAATGAACTGAATTTGGGGGTTCACTGTTCTGATTGGAGCATTAGCAATTTCATACTTTTTCTTGTGTTCAAAGACTTTTTTGAAGTGATCACATTCATCTCCGAACAAAGTAGCTTTCATGCTGTTACCCTGTAATGTAAGCCAAATAAAATTATGTAAAGTAGCCTCTAGTTACAAAAATGAAGAACAAAGGTGTAAATGTTGCCATATACCTCATCGTCTTTAAAAACCAGTTTTCGGAACCTTTTTATGTTAGAAGGAGATCGGATTTGGGACTTTTCTATCACAGTAACTCGAACTTTGTATGCTTTAGTTATAGGTGAAAGCTTGTCCAAAGGTGTGTATTCAGGCTTAATCTGTGGGACATCAATGTTAAAAGGGTTGTTACACGTATTATGATTTTAAGTAGATACTTTTGTTTGTTTATGCATTGTTGGTCAGCAACAAAGACCATATTAAGATGTTGCACAACAACTATGTAATGTGTTATAACTGAATACAAAAAAAATTATAAACAGCGTGGGATGATGTGGGTTGTATTCCATAAGTTTGTGTCATTAGTATTCAATTCTAAGGTACGCACATGGGAGAATCTAGCTATGAATAAAAAAAGTTAAGCAGAGCATAGGTTTAACTTGCAGGTAATAAAGTGTCACTAAGTCATATATAAAAAGAAGGTAGTTGTTCACAAATTCACCAGCCTTTTCTTTTATTTTCTCATTCACTCTTGTATCTCAGTGTTTTCAAAACGATGTAAGCAGCAATGGCTAGTAAAGGCAAGGCTAAGATGGAAAGCAACAAGGAAGATGTCCTTCCCAACCATCCAACCTCAGGATCTGTAGAGGAAAGGCTTGTTGTTCTTGAAAAAAAGGTGGAGGACCTAGAAGCGGTGGTGGAGGCGCTTTGCTTTGAGCCAGAAGATAAGCATCCAAGCCTAAAGAAAGAAACTCCACAAGAAGGGACCAACAAACCTAAATTTACTCTTGGGTGTGATGATATCCACCACCATTCAAGCCCTTCATATTCACCTGAGAGTGATACTTTCTATGGTGGTTGTTTCTAAGGGAACTTTCAATTTAGATCCACACTTGTTATAGGTTTCTAAGCTTAGTGTTGTTGGTTCTTAAGTAATAGCACCTTATTATTGCTAGCTTTTATGTTGTACCTATTATTAGTTTTACTTTTTAAGTTGTAGTAGTTATCTATTACTATTAGGTTGTTTAGTATTGTACTGGTGTTGTGTGGATCTATTTACTGCCTTTATCTTTGGTAAGCATTAGTTTCTTGTTTTTTTTCACTGTATATGAAAAAGTAAGTTGTTTTCTAGCATTTGTTTCACTATATATGCAAAACTAAATTGTTTTCTAGCATTGTTGTCTGTAATTTACAGAAATTGTAGTTGTTTATGTTGAAGAAAAAGGCATGCCTTCCATTTGAGCTTGAAGATAAAGATAACTTTAACCATTATTACAAGCCATTGGGTTTTACTTTAAATACATGTTGATCTTTAATATAGGTAGCTGATATTGAGCACTTATTAAGCAATTCATGTAAATTGCATGAATTATTTGCGCTCTATTAAACCAATTTTTGTGTTAAAGGAAATTGCAGCCTTAGTAAAACAAAGATCTATAGCTAAGTCTACAAAAATGAGCATCTTTTATAAGCCTAGAATTTAGATTAGAGCTTTTAAGGTATGCAATGCACATTGTTCAAATTCAGTATTTAATTGACTTCAAAATAAAATCAAATTGCTATACTAATCATACTTACTTGGCATATTATTTAAAATATGATATTTAGTTAACATGGTATGATAATGGTCCTAGCAAGTAAGTAAAAGCTAGTGTCTGTGGTCAACTATTGCTAACTGAATATAGAAGACAACATCCCATTGCTAAGATAAAAGGAAAAATATATTAAACGAAAAGGCTGGACTTAAATTGAAGAAAAAAAAAAGCATTTATGAATTTACCTTGTTAGAATGGATTTGCAAGCATTTGTTGCTAGCACACACCACAAGAGAATCAAAGTGACAGAAAGAAAAGTGTGGAGTAAATGTTTTCTGTGAAATGTTAGCATCTTTAATAGCAAAGGAGTATTTTAGATTTAACATGAGGTTTCTTGTAATATCCAATGTATTTTACTATGTTTTGCAGCATTTGATTGTCCAGGAGATAAAGAGGTGTATAAAGTAGGAAAATTGCAGTAGACCGGCTGTGTAGGAATTTTGATATTTTTTAAAATAAGCTATAACATGGTATTGACCAGTAGTTAATAAGGTGTTTGTAGTTAAAGTGAGTCAGGGCAATTGTTTTGTGGGTAATAGAATGAATGAGGTTTCTGCTGCAATGCTGCTACAAAAGTGTAGGTGTAATAAAAAAAGCAAAGGTAGGATTTGCTTCTTTGTAAAATCAGAATCAGATTTTTTTTGTAATAAGGTTAGAAAACCTAGGATATTACTATTTTTATGTTACCAATTTCAAGCTATCTAAAATAGTAGAAGTAAATTGAAGAGTGCATAAAATAAGTACATGCAAAAGGTACATAAGTGGTACCATACATACATAATATAAACATAGTAAATGCTAGAAAATAATCGGATTGTAAACAAAATTATAATTTCTACTTAACCAAAAAGGTGTAACAAGGATTTTGAACAATTAACCTAGGTTTTCTAATTATATATAAAAGGGAAAGCACCTTCATTTATAACATGTTTAAGACTATATTAATTAAGATAGTAAGAATAATTGACTGACAATTTAGCTGGCAGATTTAGTAGATAGGAAGTAATACCTTCAAACACATGCATCATGTTATGCCAGATAATTGCAAAACATCATACGCTACTACGTTTTTCAGCACTGGTGATGTGTGGTGTTTAGCAGGCTGTGGTGTGATTACAGTCCCCTTATCTGACTTTACAGCTGCCCATGGGAAAATCATGGCTGTGGTAGGTAAACTATCACTCGGCATAATGTATGCCCTTGAGATTTGTTAATGGTCATTACAAAACTGAGCTTCAAAGGAAATTATATCCGCTCAAACTGAATAGAATATTTTGTTGATGATGGAAGCCGGATATTAACACGATGAACGAATACAAGTTCTCCTTGGCGATGACTAGTGGCTATAGAACAAACAATCACATTCCTTCTTAAAGATTTGTATATAAGACGCATCCCATTGCACAGGACATCTGCTGGATCAATGTTCCTGAGCAATATTACAGGGCTGTTTATTTTTAGAACAAGTTCATGTGGAGTCATACCACCAGGGGCAAGCTGGTTTAGGAACTCTATTGGGTAAATTGCACATTTATCATCTAGCATGCTATCAAAACTCTTGTAAACAACATAATTCGCTGGGAATTTATTTATAAGAAATGCGTTGATGGAGTCAACTGCATCATTTAACGATGTGAGAATGACACTCTCTGTGATATTTGGTGAGAAGGCTGCATGTTCTAACTCTAGGAATGCAGTAGCAGAAAGGTAACTGATAGGATCATTGCCTTCTTGATAATAACTCACAATGTGAGCAGGAACCTAAGCAAAAGCATTTCCAGTAGACTGCAGCTGGCCATTGCCCAAACTCAGCAGAAATTATGCATATGGGAGATCTTCTCTTGCTATGATGTTTTCAGTCAGGTGTAACTTTTCTAGCCAAGGCCAGATATATGAGTTAACCAGGCTTGCTGCAACAACCTCTCTTTAAGTTTTGTGAGGAACAACCGGCAGCACCTGCCTAAAATCTCCCCCAAATTCTACAACCTTCCCACTAAATCATTGTTCTGCGTCACAAAGATCACGAAGCAGAAGCTCAACTAATTCAACGTTTTCTATTTTGGCCATTGAAGCTTCATCCCCAATTATCAGAGTTGTTTGTTTGATTAAAGCAGCTAAGCTGCCTTCTTTAGGAAGGTCACAAGCAAGAGATGTTTCTGAATCCAGAGGAATCTTAAACCTTGAGTGCACTGTCCTCCTAGAAGGTATGTTTGTTGTAGCAATGCCCGATGTTGCTGTTGGAAGAACAATCTTCCCTTCCATGCGTACTTCAGCATATAGAGCGTTGTACAAAAATGTTTTGTCAGTTCCTCCAGGACCATCAATAAAGAAGCAACCAGGCTTGTCTGATTGAACCTGAGCAATAATTCTGTCAAATCAATTTGTTGAGCTGAGTTAAGTTTGCCTCTACAGTTGATACACTCTTGAGGAATAGGTGCATCTAAAGCATCAACGATGTCTTTAGTTCTGTTGAGCTCTTCTGGCACCTCTTCATGTAAGTGGTCAAGTTGGAAATAAGCCAATGATTTCCTATAGACTCTAAATGGCGTTCTATTGACTGTATGGTTAGCAACCTAACATGAATTTATTTTCAAGATAGACATGTCTGTAATCATCAGATAGATCACCATAGAATCGCTGCCAAAGTCTATTGGGGTCGCAAGGGGTGTAGAAAACACAAACAGCTGCAAATAGGCGGCGTAAGGCAACAGACAATTGAATTTCTGCTGCTTCAGCCAAACATGCGTGTACTACATTGTCTTCATCACATAAACCTCTTTTAATAGCTTCTTCCTGAAAAGTGGCACAAAGTACTCCATTAACAGTTCGAAGATCAGTGAATGATTTAGGATTTCGTACATTAATTAGCAGTAGTCTCAAGAAGAATCGCTCTCCTTCTGCTGGTGTAATACTTGCAAGCCGACCAACAACCATAAGCTTCTTATTCTTCCTTTGAAACCATGCTTTCACTACCACAAAAATTAGATTACATATCACAAAATATAAAACGGTTATCAAAGATAGGCGTGCTGCAGAAGAATATAGAACGCATTTGTGCAAGAGGCGTTTTATGAGTTATTAAATATAGAACGGTTAGAATAATTAACCGTTCTCTATTTTTTTACTCAAATAATAAAAAACAAATAATTATTCATTTTAGATGATACAGAACGGTCATCTTGACAACCGTTTTATATTTCTTTTTTATTTTATATTTAAAAAAAAATGGGTGGGATATTTATGTGGACCATTGGGGTATTTAGAATTACCCTAATTATTCAAAGGCTGCTTAAAATAATTGAAACGCTTTTATATTCCACTATCACTATTCACTAGAGCATTAAACTATCAACTGCTTACTGCTTCAAAAAAACGATGAAAAGTGAAACCTCTTGTTGCTCAATTAACCAATAACTGCTTCGTCGCCCTACCGCCTTACCATCGCCCCATCTCCCCACCATCGTTCTACCGCCCCACCGTCGTCCCACCACCAAACTATTGAACGTCTACTTCACCGCACCGCACCGCACCGCTCCGCTACACCACCACTGCACTTTCCAGGTAATTCGTTCAAATTTTTCTTGATGTGGATGAGTTTGTCAATCTAATTGTATTAATCAATCGAATTTTTCAATTTAGCTGTAGTGAATTCATATTTTTCATCCATTACAGTAACTTCGATCGAATTTTTTTGGTGGATAAAAAAATTCACAATTTTAGTTTTTGGGAAATAATTCAATTGATTCTTATAAACGCAAATAATTCAATATAATTGCAGTTTTTTCAATCAAATTACACTTAATTTATTCGAATTACAAGAAATTTCAGTATTAATCAAAATTATTTTCGCCAAATTGTTCTTACCTAGGTCAAATATAGAACCTAATTAGATAAAGAAAGAGGGGTGGGGGAAATTGATTACCACTAGATTATTATGTTCTATTAATTTCAAAATATTGGGAATGAGGGACATGAAGGCTTTTAATAAAGCTCTACTCGCTAAGCAAGCTTGGAGGATCCTAAACAACACTCCTTCACTGATGGTTAAAACTCTGAAAAATAAGCACTTCCCAAATTCTGAATTTATGGATGCTAAGGTGGGTTCTAATGTGAGTTATACTTGGAGGTCTATAGTATCTGCTCGAGACCTGCTGAAAAAGGGGTGGTAAAGTCTGTTGGGAAGGGTCGATATTTGGCTTGGGTGGGATCAAGAGAGATCACCTTGGTGATGTTATGGCAGCAACTTGTTGTTTACAGCATGGGTGTTTCGAGGTTAATATTGCTGAAGCTCTTGCAGCAAGACATTGCCTGACCATTGCTTTGGATGCAAGACTGCGTGATTTAGTGCTAGAAACTAACTGCAGCAAGTTGTACCAGTATTTACTGCATGGGAAATGTGAAACTTCAGCCTTTGGTGTTATTGTTAGTGATATTCTTCTCTTGGCTAGCTCTTTCTTTAGTATTTCTATTTCACATGTTGGTAGAGATGGAAATTGTGCTGTGTTTTTATTAGCTAGAGGTAGCATTGAGTTTGGTGAGATGAGAGTATGGTTAGAAGAAGTGCCACATTGTGCTTGTAACGCCGTGCTGCTAGATTTAACTAGCCTGGAGTAATATTATGCTCAGATTTTTTGTCAAAAAAAAAACTTTAATTTGCCAATTATTTTAGAAAAATTGATTTGCTTTGCTTTTCTTTTATAAAAGGGTTGGTTATGAGATGTTGTGATTGAAATTCAATGATGATTTAATCTAATTCTAGTGATGTATAAGAGTAGTCATGGTGTTTGTGGATTTTGGGTAGCTGATTGTGAAGGGAGAAGAGCAGGAAATCAGAATCTTATGGAAGTGAATTTATAATAATAATAATAATAAGGTGGCAGAGTTGATTAAAGGAAAATTTCTTGTTGGTTGATTGTGAAGAGTGGAACTTGATACGTTAGTGGCCCTCCTTCCCTGACACTAGTAATATTTGTTGATTATATCTGCATCCTACTTTTGAAACTATAACGTCAACTTATCCATCTCTTAACAGTTATCAGACACTTTGGCTAAGTCATCCAAAGAAAGACATGGTGACATTGCAGAATAACAACCATTTATAAAGTACTCCGTATGTATCTTTTTCATACTCTTTTCTTTATCTAGCTTTTCCTTTCATATAAGTTAAATTCAACCAACATTTAGAAGAATGGATATAATACCTAGAAGTGCTACTAATTTTAACCTCTTATCTAAAATTGTGTTGATGCAGGTTTTTCGGTCTATAGATTTAGGTTATGTACAAGGATTTCCAAAGGATGTTTAGGAGGCTGAGTCTCAGGTTCGTTGACACGATGTTTTGCTTTTGCACTAACTGTACTATTAGTTATGTGTTTTTGATAATGAAGCCAATTTGGACTCAATGTACCTGTATTCATTGCAGAACCTGGTTTGTGCGAAGAATTTGGTGATAGACAAGAACATCCAAACAGCATACATTGAAGCAATCAGATCTACTCAACATTTCATTTATATAGAAAACCAGTATTTCCTTGGATCATCATATGCTTGGCCAAATTACAAAAATGCCGGTATGAAAAATTTTATTTCCCTTTCTTATAATCTTGCTGTTGAGGTTGTTTAGAAAATGTGAATGTTCCTGTTGGATTCGATAGCTAGTTTGCTTAATGATTTTGTACTGGCAGGTGCTGATCATTTGATGCCAATGGAGTTGGCCTTGAAGATTGTTAGCAAAATCCGAGGCAAAGAAAGATTTGCTGTCTAAGTTGTCATCCCTATGTGAATTGTAGATCAATATGGTATTGGTATATCTGAGCATTATTTTTTAAAAATCAACATTAACTAGAAAGGTGTTTTGATATTAAACTCAGGTATTTATTTGTATAGAACAAATTTTGTATGGATGATTCAATTTAATTGTGGTTGGATGTTTTAAATTATATATATGAAGTATATTTTGATGGCTTTCGTCGTATTTGGAAATATTTTTGTTAATTTTATTATACAGAGATTTATATTGTACGTATACAGGATCATGGATTTATTTTTACATAGGAAATGTGAAAATTTTCTTACATGATAAATGTACAAGATAAAAAACAGGAGTACAACAAATACAGATCTAAAATGAAATACAAAAATAATACATATTATTAAAATACAGTAATAATACAATATAAAATACATACAGGGGTAATTCGAAATACATATGGCTGGATATTTAAAAAAAACATTAGAGAATTATTATCAAACTTAACTGTTCTCTATTCCTTCCTTAGAGAACGGTTAAGTGGCCTAAACCGTTCTTTATTCCTTCCTTAGGGTATGAATTTAAGAAGGGAAAAGAGAACGGTTGTGACTAACAATTGTTCTCTATATGTGATTATATAAAACGCCTAAACAACCCGTTCTCTATACTTTATACATCGCTTAGCAGAAGAACGCCCCTAAGGCTATCTATAAAGCCTATTATAACAGTTCTCTAAGGCCTTTTTTGTAGTAGTGTTTCTTACTGGCATCCCACCTATTATGCTCCATAAATTCACTGTAAAGGTATCATGTATCTTGAGGAGTGGCTGCATTTGCCTTAAAAAATTCTGTCAGCTGAAATCTGGATCTACGATCATTCAGCATAGCAGAATCTAGATGTTCATGAACCCATAACTGAACTATTTGCATGTTTTCCAAGTGCACTGCCAATTGTTGCACAGGAGGGTGCATCTCAAATAGATTAAAGGAAAAAAATTCTCTAAGCTGCCTCACACGGCGACACCCATCAACCAGACTAAAACCTTTCAATTTCATCTTTAGAATTTTTGTCTCCTCCAACAACATTGAAAGAATCCCTATCATGGCCTTTGTAAACATACTTGTATAGATACTTCACAGCCTTAATGGATGAGCATACTTCTACATTCAAATGGCAATCAAATAACGTACAAAGGCATGTGTAGACACCCATTCGTGTCTCCCCAAAATCAAACCCAGTGATGAGTACCTTTCACGTCGAATCATAATCGAATGAAGTGAAAGTGTGGAAAGTCTAGTGTTGCGGAAAGTTTTATTTTCTTTTCTCTTCTCTCTGTTTTTGAAATCTTATTTTAAGAAAACAGCCAATCCAGTTTGGTTGGTCCATGATATGGATCCAATAGTAATGTAGTTGGATGGGGCTTGCAAAAACCTTTCCAACGATACATTATAAGCCCAATTCCGATGAATATTGAGGAAGTTATGGCCAATTTACCAAACTGGGCCCGGTTTGAGCTTTATATACGGCCCAATGATCTAGGGGAGGGCTAATATGATTTATCATTCCTAATGTAATTAGGAATGATTTTAGTCTTCTAGAATCTTGTAGAAGGTTCTTTTCATTCCTAATTCAATTAGCATTGATAAATTGACTTTTGTTGAATTTTCAGAGTTTTAATCAAAATCAAATAGCATTTTTGAGGAAATTATATGATTTTATCCTCCAATACGGCAAACTTATCTGATTTTCAAAAACGCGTTAAAATCAGGCTTGGCGCCTAACCCCAGGCCTTTGCACCTGGAACCAGGCCTGGCGCCTGGCGCAAGCCATTGGTGCCTGGCGCTAGTGTTGGTGCCTGACGCCAGTTAGCCAAGGGTGGCGCCAGCTCTGTTTTTTATGCGTCAGACTCTGTTTTGTTTATTTTATCTTTTTGGCTGATTTTCTCTATAAATATCGTATTAAAAACTCCGTTTTCATTCACAATCTACATCCATCATTCACCTACAATCAGTTTTCATTCGCAATCATTAATTCTCTAATTCTCTCTTAATCATTCACCAATTCTACAATCGGTTTTAATTAGCATTCATCTCTCTTTCATTCATTCTCTCTTTTTCTAAAACTTGTTTTCAAATACAAAATTCCGCATTCGCAAGATCTAGATACACCTAGCCATATTTGAAGTTGCCTTCGCCCTAGACGTGAAAGGTTTTAATTTCTGAGGGTTTGGTCCCAAATCTCTCTTTCAATTATTTAATTTAATTGTTGTTTATTATTTTCCTTGAAGTTACTAACGTGTGTATTTTGTTATTAGAAAGAGGTACGAGGCATCAAAGTAAGTACTTTAATGGTTTTAATTGATATTATGATGTAGACATCATGTTTAAATTGTTATTATGATATTCATAGTATCATGTCTAGGGTAATTTTAATATTAAATATGATTGTTACGATACTTCCTATGTTCTTCCTAATATTTATGATTGTTAGTATCATGTTAGGGTTAAATATTTGATTTTTATTGCTTAGTGACATGCTAGGGTTTGTTATTAATCTTGTTAGTATCATGCCTAGGATCTTGCTATTATTATTATGCTTTAATATTAACATGAACATGATTATGATTATAATTGTTATAATTTATGACGATTATGAATATTATTATTATTATTATTTTGATGATGATTATTTTATTTATGATGATTATATTTTTATTATCATGATTATTATTGATTATTATTATGTTGCTTGATGATATTTTATTTATTGCTTGATCACACCTTTTATGCATGTTTAAAGGGAATTGGTACTTGTAATCACGCTTAATAAGATAATTAATAATCTTGTTAAGGTTAATATGATTATAATTTCAAGTGATCGCCAATAATAGATTTATTTGTGCATTAAATTGAACCAACATAGATTAAAAAGGTTTAGGGTTAATCCTATTGCTTGCATGTTAATTAAAAAGCGCACATGAATACGATCAGAATAAAGTAGAGGCCTATTATTAGGGCAGGTTCAATCTCTTTTAGGTTGGATTTGTACCTTCATCCCTGAACCCTTATTTGGTTCTAGACCTTATGGAGTTGACGATCTCTTGGATCGTTAAGGGGTGTAACCTTCACCTCGTGAACGGTTTACAAGTTCCTAAAAACTTGTTGGCGACTCTTTTGCTCTATCTTCTTCCCTTTTGGACGCCACCGTACTTTAGTGTGTGATCACAGTGGGGTTCAAGCTAGTGGGATTTTAAATCTTGAAATTATTCCCTACAGCATGGATTGTATGGAATGACCTAGAGGTTATCAAGGCTTGCACCACGAATTCGGACACTCTCTCCTTTATCCCTTCTTTTGTACATGGGATATCCATCATCATGGTTTGTTGTTTCTTATATAAAATTCTTAGGATAGCCATATTTACAAGACAGAGAACTATTGTGCCTTGTAATCATACATGCACAATCAGGATTAGCTTCTCCACAGGGCCCATGCATCATATGCCGGATCACAATTTTCCGAAGTTCTGGGGAGCTGTGGGGTGGTAATTCTGCAGAGACAAAACGATCAAAATCTGAAGGTGTTTTGACTTTGCAACTTGGTTTTAGTTAGATAAGGAAATGTGCATGAGGCAGGCCCCTTTTTTGGAATTCAACCACATATATCATAGCTGCTACTTTTGCAAAGATATGCTTCTTTATTATTTGATTTTTCAAGCAAATTAGTTTAGCTTGGAAAATACGAGCAACAAGCTCTGGTCGGTTTTGAGCTGCTTCATCGGGAGCCAGTTCTGCTTTGATCTCTTACCAGTTTGCATTGCAAGTCATTGTGACAAACAAATCAAGCTTACCAAAGCGCTGCACTAAAGCCATTGCGTATAAGTAGCGACGCTTCATGTCTTGTGGACCACCAATAAAAGTCGGTGGTAATATAACTCGGCGGCCTAGATTTATGGGATTTTTTTCACCATTCTCAATTGAGTCTAAGATCCCCTGATACAAATCAGCTCTGATTTCCTGTTGATTGTGCCGAAAGTATTCTAGTCGAGTATTTTCAATTTTCACATACATATCAACTATGTATTGCTGAAGACACCAGCCTTCCCGAAGCAACATGTTGTTTAGCCGGGACTGCAGGTTGTAAGCATAATATTCACGAGGTGAAACATGCCTAGCCGAACTACCACTTGCATCTGCTAAGAATGAAATTAGTGTGGTTGCAATGTATGTCAGTTAAAACACACAATGAAGGTCAAAGGGTTATGATCAAAAGAAGCAAATCTCTCATTCGGTTTTAATTTGAAGCTTACGGCTTGCTTCCAATTCAAGCACATCTTCCTCTGTGTGTACTGCGGAGGACATAGTAGGGTTTGTTTGCTCCTGAGATGCACAGTTGTTTTTTGTCAAACCTTGACTCCAACCACATTCACCATAAGGAAATAAAAGAGGGTGCTGCAAAGAATCATAACATCCGTAATTATGGTATATACCATGAGAGTCATGTGACCTTCCTTTTACAACAATGTATGGGCTGCTGGACTCGCTTGATGATGTATTGTCAGGCCAAATTACAGCTACTTCATCTGTTGTTGGAGCATTATAAAATCATTGATCTACAACACTATTTTTGTTAATAAAAATTTGTGTGTCTTCCTGGATGTCAAGGTCTTTCAAAGATCTGAAAAAGCGAGCGTAAGGATTATGCTCAGTTACCTCCATAATTATGTTGATAATATGCTGTCTAGTTTGTTTAAAGCAGTCTGTCCTAGCAGCTACTTCAAACTTTCCATCATAAAAATAGAGTTGCAAATACTGAGGTGCCTAGGCTTCTTTTTATTTCCCCCCCTTTTAGCAAGATAGTTTACCTTTTAAAGAGCAAGAAGCCTACACAGTATAAAAGTGAAGAGGCCATTGTGAATTGTATTTTTTTTTTAGGATTTCATGTCAAAGTAGTGTTGTAAATTAGCTTAGTTTACTTTCAATGAGCTAGTTGTGTTGTAGCCTCACAAGTATCTGATTTTTTTTTAATAGTTTTTATTCTTCTTTTAGTTTAGTATTGAATATGGCAGGAAATGGGGATGAACTTTCAGCAGTGCAAAAAGGCAATATAGAAGCTAGTTTTTGAATTCTAGAGTTCTAGGAAGTTGATTTACAGAGCAAATTATCTACTGTAATGGCCATTAATTCAGATGTAGGAAAGAGGATTACCAAGATAAAGAG